CAAGCTGGCGTGGAGCGTGCTTGCGGGATGCCCAAGACGTTCGGTTCTTTGAGAACAATTCTAGCGAGGCTTTGAAAAGCGCCCGGAAGTTCGGTGGATGCCATTCTGCCGAAACTCTTGGTGCATAGGCAGGGGTTTCACGAGTCGCCCAAGGAAAATGGCGGCGGTGGGTCGGACTCCGCTATGTCCTATATGGCCAGGCGGAAAGGGAGCAAGGAGAAAAGCCGCGGCAACGATGAGAGCCGGGGCTAAGGGCCACAATGCTATAACTGCATGGAGTTTAGTCGCATTGCCTGGAACTGCAGCAAGCCGGCCAAGCGCCATTACAAGCCGAAGCAAGAGAAGGGGGGAAAAGCCCCCAAAGGTGTGGCCTTTGGCGTCAGTGGAAGGGATGTCCACTGACGAGTGGCTCGTCGATTTGGGTAGCCCTGCGACACCTAAACAAGGACAAAAGCCTATTTAACACCCTCGAATCGCTTGAGGGGCCCTAGTGGCCGAGAAGTCACTTTTGGAATAAAGGAACCCTATGGGCGGAGAAAAGCGGCTCGATTGAGCGACATTTTGCAATTCCGACTGGAAAAGGGCAGGTCACTTCATGGAACGTGATGCATGTTCGGGGGTTGGCGGCGAATTTGATGTCGGTGAGCAAGGTGTTGAAGCTCATGGTGAGGGAGTCGGTATTGTAGTTGGGTTACTCGTCATCGAGTCTTATCGTGTTGCCCGGCAACTATGCGCATCACTCATTGATGGCAGCCATGCAACCTAAAAGAAACACAAAAAGCGCCTCGCACGCCGCTTACGTCTCTCCACAAGTTTTTCGTACAATGACAGTAATTTCTCACTATTGTCTCACGTGTCTCTCCTGTTCCACTAGGTTGACTAGCCTACTAGACTCACTAGCCTAAGTCCACTCTACCAGGCTCACTAGCCTATCTCACAGTCCACTCAATTGTAGCCTCCGATAGACTTATCTACGGCTCACACGACGGCCGCTCTCAACCGCCTAATCTCCAAACCGTCTTAACGTTTCACCGCCCAACCGCCATGCACGCGCGCCGGCGTTCGTTAGTCCAAACCCCACACGAGTTGAACCCTAATCACATAGCAATTCGGCAGATACAAATGTTGAAATCATTCACTCATGCTTGTCACAAGCTAGGGTCCAACCACCCTCAAACATAAGCGCCTTCACAAAGAAGCGCCTTCCTCTTTTCAAGCAGCTCTAATAGAATGAATATCCATCACATGACAATAGTCCAAGTCACTCCAATGCCGTAGCTAGATGTACTCTAGCCTAGGTCGGGTAAACTTCCACCACCCACTAGTCAATTCAACTATATGGACTCCTTTCCATCAACCTGTCACTCTACTACTCACAATACGGCCTATATTCCACTCGGACTTGTGACCGGAGCACTATACTACTAGTGGTCGGTAGTACCGTACTACTAGTGGTCGGGTTACTATACTACTCGAGTCGACTCACATCTAACGATCCAAGATCCGAGTCAACACGCAATCGGACGGTCGATACTCAACGACACAAACTTCCAACTCTACCGTCGATATTACACGCGACAAACCACAATCCTGCGGTCGATATCACAAGACAAAACTCACGATCCTACGGCTCAAATCTGTCGAGCCTAACTCAACAATTTGGCCGTCAATCAACTCCGTTTCTCAACAATAAATCACCGAATTCTAAGATAGGGCAACCGAAGTCGCATCAGTGTTGTCAAGGAGAACGTCGACTGCAAGCTTGAGCTTGACGAGGAGGTAGTTTTCGTTGCTCGGTGTTGAGATTGGGTCAGACTTGTCTTTCGTCATTGGGTCTTATCGTAGTGCCTGGCACTCATGCTTATCATTCATCAATGGCAGCCATACATCCTAAGACGAACACACGAAGCGCCTCACAAGCGGCTTCCCTCTCTCCACAAACTTCTCGTAGAATGATATGCGACAATATTGTATCTCTTCACTATTGTTTCACAGATCTTTCCTTCAACTAGACTCACTAGCCTGCTAGGCACACTAGCGCACGTCACCACACTACTAGGCTCACTAGCCTAGTAAACTTAAATCTGCACCTTAGGAAGACCCGTCTACGGCTCACACTGACGGTCCTCTCTCAATCGTCCAATATTCTTGCACGAAAGCCGGCGCTCACTGGGTTTGAACATTAAGTTGGTCCGAACCTTATTCATTAGTAAAAGTTCGGCTGACGATGATCACCGAATGCTTCGGAAAGTGAAGGGGATCTATGTGGTCAACCGGGCAAAGAAGGACATCTACTCTGTGGAAGCCGAAAACGGCGGAGTTGTGGCACCAACGGTTAGGACCGCCGGGTGAAAATGGCGCAGAGCGCGTAAGGGGAAAGTACACTAGTTAGGCTTCTGTGTACGGCATCCTACTCGGTGAGCACGGAGCCAGTTGAGCTAGTCCACATGGACATCTGCCGGTTAATGCCAAACAGCTTCGGTACAGGTACCTAAGGTAGCCGGTATTCCGCCACGTTCTTAAACCACTACCTCAAATTCTCGGTTGTTGTCCCCATGAACGGCAGAGCGAGGTGGCCAAGGAGCGGACGGTAAAACGGTTGAAGTAGCGACAAGAAGCTTAAGTTGGTGCGGACGGATTACGGCAAGAAGTACATCCACAAAGCTCTGGAAGAAGTGCGGGAGCACGGGACCGTACACGAGAAAACCGCCTCTTATAGTGACCGGCACAACGGGGCGATTGAACGGCTCAAGGGGATCTGGGGGGAAAGAGTCGAGCAGTGCTGGAGTAGTCGGGGTTGCCCAAAGGGTTGTGGGCAGAAGCCGTGGTAACGGCAAAGTATATTCCGGGAACGGGACGCTCGTGAGCCTTCGTGGAAAAACAGGCTTGGGAGGCGTTCTTAGAGGAAGAGCCGAATGTTGGGCATTTGAGGGTTTTTTGGGGCGCGAGCCTCCTGACACGTACCCAGCAGCGGACCTGCGTAAGCTAGAGCCAGTGAGCGCGAGCGATGTGTGCTCGTGGGGTACGAGCCAGACTCAAAGGCGAAGATCGGTTGCTCTGGACAAAACTGTGACGGAAAACTCATCATCTCCCGGGACGTCATCTTCGACGAGGGAATTAGCAGCTCGATGGGGCGTCAAGCTTGGCTTCGACCTCGCGGACGGTGTCTCGACGGCAGAGGGTCACGGCGCGCACAGACGGAAATCCTTAAGCGACCAAAAGCAATGTTCATTCTTGCGCAAGGGCGAAGCCGCCCGCGCGCGCGTGTGGGCCGCGACGGCGCCGCGCGCGCTTTCAGAAAAGGGTAAAAATGAGGGCAAGTTTGGAACTGTGCGCGAAACAGGGCAAAGCCGGAAAATATTGAGGGAGTTACCAAAAACCGGCTGCCGAAAGGTAGCCAGCGCGTGAAAGACAACACCGCCTGGGGGCAGTGCTAGGTCGGCCGCGCTAACTTCGTGGCAGCACCGCGGCGCCGCGGAAAAAGCGAAGGCGGTCGGAGACCCCAAGGGGACGTGCCCGAGCACTGGGAACTGCAGTCTTATTCGGAAGCTGTAGGGGGAGAAGAGAGTGAACTATGGCGGAAGTCGATGAACGATGGCGGTCTTTGTTGAAGAACCATAGGGATTTATACATGCAGCAGCCGCAGGAATACGAGGAAAGTGGGCCCGACATGGTCCGCCGCCTCAAGCGCACTATGGAACCTTGTACGGGTTGCACCAGGCGCCGCGAGCATGGCACATCCGCCTGAAGAAGGAGCTCGGGAACTCTGAGGTTGTGAATCATCATTCTAGCGAATTTAGAACTGCGGCAAATCATACATGATTGGTTGGGCGGGCAACGTATTTGAGCGCAAGTTCGTCCGAAGTCGGCCCCGGACCTCCTGAGCCTCTCCATGGCCTCTGAGTTGGGCCGTGTAATGTAATGGTGTATGATGATGTATGATTCAATAAGGCCGCGCAATTTGGCAATTGCGCGGGAATTGCGCCCCCATGCAAGTCATGGTGCACGTCGGTCGCGATCACGGCGGCGCTTAGGGCACGCGGCGCGGCACGGTTAGGGTCTGCCAAATTAAGGGCGGCAGAATTTTGGTTTCAACCATAAGCCGATAACCTTCCTTGCGGCCAACGCCCCTAATCCGTGACTAAAATAAGTACATACAGTAGATAGATTCGATTTTATAATATTAAGGTAAGTGATATCCTCAAATAAAGAGGATGTCCTCTTTGATGTATCAGTTTATTGACGCCTGGCGTTTTCAGTAAGTGCAGCAAAGATCAAATTGACCGTTCAGTGACCATTCGATCGCGGCCTTTCGCATATCGACACTGCTTATGAAAATTTGCTCGGCGTGATATGTATCAGTCCAATTGCAATGCTACGGCGCAGATTACCGCCGGGATGTCGTCATACTTCGTCGGTGATATTTGACGGACGTAGACTCTCAACCGCACAAAATACTTTTAGTAGGTTTCGAGTAGCGATCATTAATTAGATAACTTCCGACTTCGTCGATTAATCTCGGAGCTCAAAAGGGGGCTTACACTGCAAACTCAAACCCTTTCTTTATTTAAAAACTGAGGAATACAACCTCCACCAATCACAATGCTAACGAACCCTCCGATATAGAGGGTTGGAGGGGCATCGACGGCTGAAACTCGCTCTCCCGCGCCCGAGAACGCCGGGTTAAGGCATAGGGGCACGCGAGTTGAAAGCGTATGCAACCGTCGATCCGCGATGAGCCCGGTTGGTGGTCAGCGCGGTCTGAGGGTTCGTCAGCGAAAATTTCGGTCGATGGGCGACCGCATTGAATGCAATCGGCGAGAACTTTGACCGACCGGTAGTCAGTGGTTGAGTAGAGTAGTCTGTCAGTGCCTTAATAGGCAGTGGAGTAGTGGTGCAATGGAGTAGTAGCTTAGCGTCAGAAGGAGTAGCAGAGGCACGCGCGTCTAGGCGCCACTACGACTGGCATTGGGATGGCGCTAGACGGGGCGGGAGCGCCCATGAAGATGGGACTTGTTGCTGCCCATGGCGATGTGGGAGAAGAGAGAAGGTGAGAGTTTCACCAAAGGGAGTGGTGGGCGGGTCGAAAATTATTCTAATTATACACTTCTGGTTAGCATTCTCGAGCCTGAGTGCACAATGGGCTCGGCTCATCTCTGCCGTTATATTTTCCATTTGACGACAGGCAAGCATTCCCTTGCCTAAAAACTGAGGAATGCAACCTCCACCAATCACAATGCTAACTTCTGACTTTAGACATGCCAACGAACCCTCCGATATAGAGGGTTGGAGGGGCACCGACGGCTGAAACTCGCTCTCCTGCCGCCGCCCGAGAACGCCGCCCCAAACAACAATTGTTCCCGCAAACAACAGTTATTGGAAGATAATGGGCTTTTTCGTGCAGGAGGGAGTTCCAGGCGCAGTGCCAGCAGCACGTATTGAACGTTCGAGGAATCGATCGTGGGACGGGGCGGGCGGGTGGGTCCGTATGGAGCGAAGCGAAGACGCTCGCTCTGTATGAGCGAGCGCTAACAGATTTCGGAACCATCGCCGAACGGAAAGTATCGGCGGCAGCAAACAGCTCGCGCAAGCGCACCGCGCAAGAATTCGCAGCGTTCCTTGGGCGAAATCCGTTTGGCGTCTCCCTGGAAACGGCCACCCCTGCGAACGTTGGGGCGTTCATTGTCGGAGATTGGATGCCCCGGCATAGCGGCAATTGCCGGACCGTGCTGCCGTCGAGCGGCAAGACTGTAGCGTCCGCCTCGTCTGTAAAGGGGGTGGTCAAAGACCTGTCGAAAACCTACACACTGCTGGGGTATTCGGGGCCTGAGAACCCTGCCAAATCGGAGGTCGTGAAATCCTTCCGAGGTGGGTATGAACGGTATTTGCATGATGAGGGGGTCAGAGTGCAGCGCGCAAAGGTGTTTGTTGAGGAGAAGCTTGATTTGCTGCTCGCGTTTCTGGCGAGACGTATTGGCGAGGAGAGCGACCTTTTGGAGTGCTGCACCCTGCTTATCGACCAGGCGGCGGTCCTATATTTGTGGGAGTCGTTAGCCCGGGGAAAGAAGTGCGGTTCGCTCAGCGCTCGGCAAATTCAGGCGGGCGCAGAACCTGCCGCCTTCCCGGGGTGGAGTAAGACGGTTCGAAAGGAATTGAGCGCGCGGATTCCGCTTGCGAAGGCGGGGGCTGGCTCCAGGCCCACGTTTGTTGAGGCGGCCGCGCAGCTGGTCAAGGGGCTGGAATTGCTCGGTGACCCGACAGCGGAGGAGGGTTATCTGTTTCGAGCCCAGAATAGGCAGCGCACGGGTTTTCTTGCTTGGCCTATTTCTAGTGCGTCGTTGCGGAAACGGATTTAACGACGACTCCAGCAAGCGGGCCTATTCGAGGGCGAGACTCCGCATAGCTTCCGGCGGTCGGCGGTGCAGCACGCCGCTGTCAACTTGAATTATAACGTAAAGCAGTTGATGGAGCTCGGCCGCTGGAAGAGTTAATGATGCAGCGTTTAAAGTATATGTAGAAGAGGTGTGGCAGCGCCGTTAAGTAACATTGATTGTAATGATAAGTTGAATTCAAAAGTGCATGCTGTAACATGAAGCACGCTCAGAAGCGTACGCTACTTCCGCTCATGTTGCTCGAGAAGACTGATGCTGTTAACATGGTGCGCAACCGTTCTACTGTGTGCTCGCATCCTGTTTCTGTCGCGCAATCTGGTGAATGTCTATCCTAGCATGTATGCTCGATTACATGAGCGCGTCATGCGCTCCATACTATTTTGAACGCCCTCAACTTATACAGCGCCGGATTCACCGTTCCCTCGGGAACCCGGTGACTCGGAAAGCAGACGTTCGCGCTCCTTGGGAGCTCTACCGGTCCCGTGACGTGCGCCTTCTGGCCAAAGTTATGGAGCGCCAACCACCAGTTGGTGGCTGGCAGTTCTGGCACTATCAGAATGCTGTTCGTGCGGCACAGCCTGATGGTCTGGATGACCTCACTGAGGTGCCGGACCGGGGGAAAAATCCATGCCAGCTCCCCCGGCGCCATGATGTCTCTTCAATCGACGCGCAGCGCGTCGGCCGCCAGGCAGCCTGGCGTGACGTGCAGGCTGACGAACTTTGGCACCACGTGGTGCACGTTTGACGCAAAAAGGTCAATTGCCGGCGTTCCGCCGAGCTCGCCGAGTATCCTCTGCACCTCCTCGGTGCGCAAACCCCAATCTGAGCTGTCATGCAGCTTGCTCAGATCGTCCTCCTCTTGCAGCTCCGCGCGCGGCTTCCACTGGGCGATGACATCGAATCACCCCGCACGCACAGCTCGAAGAGCTGGTGCAGCGCTGCGTTGACGTCCGGGGTGCGGCTGTTCATCGCGTTTACAGCACTAACCGCGCTCTGGTTATTCCCCGTCAGCAGCACCGCGCCCCCCCGAAGCGCGTCGCCCGCGCGGTCAAGGGCCTCTCTCAGCACCCGTACGAAAGCGAGCGTCTCCCTGGCAGTGCTGGAGATCAGGCGCTCCTCTTCCGAGAGCGAACCTACCACAGCGATTTTCTGCGCCCCTGGAACCCGTATGGTTCCGCCAAACCCTGTATCGGACGCGTCCGAACCGGCTTCGACCGCGACCCGACGTGGGAACCAAGCGCGGCCGTTCCACGCGGGCAAATTGTCGATGAAGAGCTGGGCGGCTGCCCTTGCCGCTTGCAGCGTTGGGAAGACGTCGTCCCACGACAGCTTCCCTTGGATGGCCGCGAAAAAAGGCCGGCTGTAAAGGGCGGCGGGAAGGACTGCCGGGCTAATGGATATGACTTTCCCGGCGACTTTCGCGAGCTTCCGGGGGGTTATCTCCTGGCTCTCGATTGGCGCTTGGAGCGCGAGGAAGAGCTACTCCATTTTTGCTGGGGAGACCGCGAAGGTCTGGCTAACCGTGTCGATAACGAAGCCCAGCCACGGTCCCTCTTGCCTTGGCCAGAAATTGCACTTGGGTATGCTGAAGACCGCCCCAAGCAGGGTTAGGACCTTAACCCCGAAAACGGTTTCCCAGACGGCCCTCCAGAAGTCCGCGCTCCCTGTGAGCCCGTCGTCCAAGTAGCTGGAGACAGGCACCGACCGGATTCGGAGCTCCTTGGCTGCTTCTTGCGTTAGGAGTGTGTACAAGTAGCACGCTTCGGACCAACCAAAGCACATGACGTTATAGTGCATGTAGACTTCTCCCACTTTTATGCCGAAGTACTTTCGGTAGGCGGGGTGGATGAGGACGTGATAGTACCCCGCTTTGAAATCCCACGTCGAGAAGTAGGCCCCGTTTGTGAGGAAGGTCAGGACCTCGCGCAGAGTCTCGTACTTAAACTCCTGTCTTTTGGAAAAAAGGTTAACGTACCGGGCGTTAATTAACCACCAAGCGCCCTTTCGGGAGGTTTACCACGCCCAACGGATTCACCACTTTCGGCTTGCCGTCCTTCGGCCCGTACACCTCCAGGGTTCTGTTTACGACCATCTTCACCACCTCCCGTACTCCTAAGCTCGCATTTTCGTAGCATGATCGGTGGTTTTTGAATTCCACCTCTTGGGGAACCCTGCCGGTAAGCTTTGCCTCTACTTCCTTCCTGGGGGCTGATTCCCGCGCGAGCGTTGCGCGGACTTGCTCGATTTTCTTGCGGTCGGCCTCTGCCGTCCCGACGAACTGGGGTTTTATCCCGGTTCGTAGCAACTTCAGCACGCGCCTGGAGGATTCCCGCTTGGAATCCTTGAGCATTTCCTCCCAGGCTGGGAGATGTCGACCAAAGCTCCCCGCCACAAACGCCTCGGGGTCGTACGTGTGCTGCCCCACGTTCGAGACCTAATTTTTGAGCTCGGCTTTTAGCTCTTCCGACATTTCGGCTCCGCTCAAGGGGCCCGGCGCCGAATCCAGGGTTTCCCGCATCAGCTTTTGAAGAGTCTCTCCGTCCGAAACGTCTGCCGTTCAGACTTCCAGCCGTGCGAAGAAGGCGTGGGTACAGCAGTCAAGCTGCGGCGGATTGCTGTGGACGAGGGGGTCTGACGTCAGATCTGTTTCGAATTCTTCCGGCAACTCGCCGGGTTGCAGCTTGTCTGGTTCGAATTCCGGAGCTGGCGGGCGCGGCCGTTCCGCCATGGCGCCTTCTGCACGCGCGCGCGGATCTGCGTCCGTCCTTCGTGGCACGCTAAACCCTTCTGGGGAATGATTGGGCGTCGGAGAATCGCACTCTGGCGTGGTGATTGGGATCGGCAGAGGTCACGTCCCTCTGCCAGACCGCTCGCCTTGAGTCAGATCCCTGGTGATTGGATCAGATTACTTCAATAATCTGATCTGCGTAGCCTATAAAGTAGTTACTGTTGAATTCATTCTGGATGAAGCAGGTACTGCCGGCGCCGTCTTCTCCCTAAAACGGGACAGTTCAGATTCGAGTAAACCTTGACTTCTAACCACTCAACTCTGATCAGTCAGCGAACGTGCTAGTGTGCGTTCTGCCGGCTTGGGCTGATGCTCAACGCTCCGGTGCAGAACGTACTCGACCTGTCATTACAGCTTAGGTTTACGCCTGACACGATTGCTTAACCCTGCCGGCCGCGGGGCAGTTCCGCGGCCTTCATACTATTTCCATTCTCAGCCGGACCTGCCTCTCCGAAATTCGCATTCACCTCATAATAGATATTCACGTAGCATTTACTTCCATCCACGTTTCCGAAGCACCTCAGTCGCTTTGTTTCTGCCACGCCGAATTCAGACCACTGTTCCATACCCATTCAGAATTCCAGATCGAAGTCGCGCTCCGGCCCTGAACAGCCGGGACACTGAATGTGAAACGGGCTTCTGATGACTCCGCGATCGAACGACTCGCTGGGAGTTTAAAAGATCTAATCTTCTTTCAAAGAACATCCGTACAGCCTTAATCCAGTTTCTTTTGTCGCTCCGAACTCATACTAGCCTCCTTGCTTTCCTGCTCAATCCTCCTTTGTATCTCTATGTCGACTTCTTCTACTGTCTATCTCCTCTTACCTACGATCTGCTCTGCATGCGCGGTTGTCGCGCTCGTCCCTGTCGTCATAGTAGCGGTCGTCCGCCTTCCTCTTGTTGGCGCCTCCTCCCCCGCGGCTTGGGCCGCCGAAGTTGTTCCTGAGCAAGCGATTGCGTTAGGCTTACGCATGTCGCTGCTTTTGCGGCCACTTTGGGGCGTGCGCAGGCTTTGGCCGTGCGCTTACTCTCAACCTTTTGCGGTAAAACTTTTGACGGCAGCCATCTTCTATGGCGATTCACCCCAATTCAAAGGGGGAAGACAGCAATTGTGCTTCCGACGTGGCGCCACGATTGGGCGTTTCCTTTTTTCCGGCGTCCTGATCAATGCTTGACCGCGCTTGAAGAAGCAATTTTTCTGGGGCCTGTGCCCTTCTCTCCGCTTATACTTTGAGTCTGCGGTTCGCATCCACCTTCCACTAACTTCCGCCCCTCAGGCATCAATTTATCAACTTTGAACTTACCTCGAGTTGCCACCGTTGCCTCTCTCGCCGCGCAGGACCAGGGGCTTGCATTCCCTTCGCCAATCTGCCCCTGCGCCTCCTTCCGATATTCTTCGAAGTCCTTCTTGATCTTCTTCTCCAAGAGCCGCACCGTCTCAGCCGTCCAGCTGCTGCTATCCCCCGCTTCCTCGATGGCCAGTTTCATGTCCGTGACGAACCCGTCAGCCATATACTCCAGGTCAAGAGAGACAAAGTCAAGCTGCGTGGCGTAGAAGTATACTGCCGCCATTAAGTGCGCAACTTTGGGGTCTAGTTCCTTGTACGATTCAAACAGCTGCTTTGCCTTCGAGTGCCACGACCTGGCGTCCCGGGGAATTTTTCTCAGCAAAGCCTCCATATGGGGGATGAGTGACCCCTTCTGCACGAACTCCTTAAAGGCCCTTTCGAGTCGCGCTGTCGATCCCACCATGTCAGATTCCCGCATGAAGCCGGGCGTGAGCGCGTTCACAGCCGCCGTGCCTAGCGTCATAGTTGGCGCCTCTGGAATCGCGACTCTTCTCGCGGCCGGCTGAGGCGGGTCCTGAGGCGGCAGCGTTGGCTGCTCTGCTTCCGCCCTCGCTGGCTGAGCCAACGGCACCGTAGGCGGCGCCCCGGGGATTGCAACCTTAAATCTCATGCTGCAACCCCTTTTCTTTGAGCTTTTGAAGCAAGGAATCGTCGGGGTATCTGGATCCGACCCCAATTCTGATCTCGTCTTTGTTCACCGGCCGGTGGAAAAGCACCCCGCTGGCTACATCCTCTAGGAAGAACCTATCCGTATTTGGATCCACCTCCCGCACTCTTGTCCAGAACTTCCTGCTAGTTCCCGGGACAGGTCCTGGCAGCACATGCCAGACATGCTCTCCCACTAAGGCCTGAGAGCCCATCAGGTCGATCAGACTACCTAGCTGCGGCTCCATACCGCCCTTTATGCCGTTCCGCCCTCTGGGGCCCGTTAACACCTGATCTCCCCTAGGGGGGCCTTGAGTGTGAATGCCCGCCAAATAAACAAAAGTCTCCTGAAGGAGCCCTGCCAGGCGCCCTTCTTTTCCTTAAACACTGCAACACTGAACGAACTGAAGAACGCCTTCTTGTGAAGGCGTTCGAGTACTTTCCTTCTGACGCCGGCATTTTTGCGGGGGTTGAGGATTTACGTAGTTACCGCCAGTCGGCTGGCGGCCGGGACTGGCGGCGCGCGCGCTCACTCGCGCGTGATAACCCTCGGTTACAATGCAGCCGCCGCAATGTGCAAATACACTTCTGGTTAGCATTCCCGAGCCTAAAGTGCACGATTGGCTCGGCTCATCTCTGCCGTTATATTTTCCATCTGACGACAGGCAAGCATTCCCTTGCCTAGCAGAACTAGTGCAACATACTACCGGGGACAAGTATACCGGGTCAACCCGTAAATTTCAAGTGCTTCGGTCACGTGCTCCGCGCACTTGGAACACGGAGTGAAGTTGGTCCTTCAAGTTCCGGAATCAGCCGTGTTGCCCGCGGAGTGCCGCGGCCGAAAATTCGCAAATTTTGAGAATTAAAAGCCTTATATAATCAATTGGTGACTTCGGGTCACGCGGCGAGTTGAGGCTTTCTGCGCCGGCTAGCGAAGGTTTTCTCCGCAGTCAAGCATACTCGAAGGACCTTTAGCCAAATCCCGACAGCAAATTCTGAAAGGAGGCAGGCCATCATTGACCCTTCCGTCCAGAGAAACTTGCAAACTACGGGATTTGGCGTGCGGACCTTTGGGCCGACCACAAGTGGAAGGCACGTGGCAGCTGTACAACGAACTGCACGCTAGCCAGCTGAGCTAGCCAAGAGCAGAAAGTATCACGGGTGGGGTCCCATCCAGAGCCAAGAGACTAAAAAAAATGAAGAGAATAAGAAGCGTAAGGAGAAAAGGAAAATATTGAGCTCGATTTATTAGCAGATTATGAAACTACTTCAAAATAGGTAGTTAGTAGCTCCAGGCTCCAGCCAGCCGCTCGTTATTCTCATTAGATCACTTTGGCCGGCCGATTCCAGGAAGTGGCCGTGCCGGTAAATGACGTTGCATCACATTATATTTCAAGCAACTTCGACCCCTCATTCTCTATGCTCCACACCCGGCACAATAAAAGCCGTCGATTTTATGTCAAGTCCCTATCTGAGTGGGACCGACTAGAATACCGAACTCTTGTCAAACTAACTTAGCCATGACTGATGATATGTAAAGTTTTTAGGCGGCATGTATCCTTCATACTCAATTGCGCCAAGACTGTCGCTTTGCCCTTCTATCTGTGCAGATTGCGACGCACCTTGGGTCTCCTCCATGGTCCTAGATCAAAGCGCGCGGAAGTACCTTTTTCCTAGGGCCGAAAAAAGGCGGGCCCAACTCAAAGAAGCCAAGGACCCTCGGGGGGTTTTTCATGGCTTCCGCGTTTAGTCTACAATTTAGCCTTATGAATGATTAGCTTTGATGTAGGATCGTGGGTAGAAGGGGGGTAGAAGACTGAGAAGACTATAGCCCAGATGAGAACTTGGAAACTTGTTATGCGGAACATAGCAGGTCTATCTCATAAGCTTAGGCTGTGTTGTCGTTTACGCTCTGAATCCTTCATTGGGCTGCTTTGCGGCACTCGAAACCCTAATCACCGAGAAGTTAGAACTTGTTTTTATGTTTACCCCCCCTTTTACCTGCACCGATAAAACGGTCGGTTGTGACATGAAACCATACCGTACCGTGGATCATCGCGAAAGTTATAAAACCAGTGCCGCAACCAATGCCCGGCGAAGAAGCTAATGATCCCGGACCTCCGAAAAAGTTTCTAAAGTGGGTTTGCACAATCTACCGCCGCGTCGTGCGGCCGCGACTTGAGATCGCACAAAGCGGAAAGTTCTAGCCCTGTCCTAGCCGTCCAGTCGAGTGGCCTTAAATGCAAATATGACACCGAAGTGGGATTCTAGGGTCTGCGGACCCTTAGGGTCGGTGCGCCAGCTTTCCAAGGATACAAATGTGACCACCCTATGACTCACTGGTGCAAATTAAACGGACTCACTGTTAAAGTATGGTAGCCAAACTTTCCTTGGATCAATGTCACAGACGCTGATTTGTCGAATATCGGACCTGGAACCCCCAACAGCAACCGGGCACTTCATCTGACGTAATAAAGTAATATATTGCAAGCCTGTAGGCTGTTACGGTTTATTTCAAGTAATACCTAGGGTCGCTCCGACTCGCAGCCCCTTACTGGGCATGGTCTCAAAACATATATGCAGCCACAGACCGAACTCCGCAATTTCGCCAGCCGCCAGGCTGGTCCCCAACGGAATTCGGTCATCTTTTTCAAGCCAGGGGCCCCCCATCCATTCCAAGCGAAATTTTTTGAAAGTTGGGCGTATATGGCTGATTTGAGCGCATTTCGTAACATATGCGGGAACAAATTGCTTGATCCTTTGTATAAGGCTGAAATATGATGTAGAACCCAGCAGAATATGCAGAAATTTACGATTCATGGTTTAAAATTCAATACTACTACGGCCGGTAGGTTTTCCGCCGGGCCGGCCGCCGGCCGCCAACACCCCGACCCACCACTTCCCCGGGCTCTTCCGCCGGCCGCCGGGGCCACCCTCCCAGGTTCTAGATTTTGCGGAGTTCGGTCTATAATTGCATACCCGGATATGTTTTGAGACCACGCCCTGTGACTGCACTACCTACGACTTGAACACCAACGGCTCAGGCTTATATTCTTAGGTTTCCAGTGTTGGTAACCTGCTCCCGGTGATGTTCAACAGTGTCCGGTCTATCACCAGTCTACCAGTTGGACGTGACGGTGTCCGCATGGCCGTTTTTGGCATGCCGCCCATTTTTTGGCTAGTATTGCGCGCTATAAGTGTGCGCGAGCACAGGCGTATTATTGAAAATGGCGCAGCCCGGTAGAGATGGGATCAAAAGTGTCGCCGTATGACGTCGCAAACGAGGAAGCGACCAGAAAGACTGAGGCTAATAACATACGGTCGCTGTATCACCTTTAGAGATTCCTCGTTTCTACCACGCCGCCGAACTTTAATACAATCCGGATATATTGGCCGGTGTTGCGAAACTGCTGTACAGCGTGCGGTTTGAAGTCCGTCGGATGCCTGGCCACAACCATTCATTGATATTCAGGGCGTAGTAGTAACGCTATTTTTCGTACAACAAAATTACAAAATTTGTCGTCTTGCATCCACGGGTACCTGGTCGGACCTCCGGTCGCAGGCCGTCCGATTGACATTCACGCGTGTGAGCGTAGGTAGAAGCCGAGGGTTGGGGTGGTTCGGCCAATCACAGTCGAGACAGTCGTTGACTGTCTGAACCGTGAATGGTTCGGACTTTTTCGGACGGCCAAGTGTCTCGACTGTGATTGCTTGTTGAGTGCCACGTCTTGCAACTGACTGGACCGTGAGTGGTTTCACCAGATCAACTTCAGAATTCAAATGTGCACCATCAGATGGACGCAACTCCTGAATGGACGTCATGAGATTGACTGAAGGCTCGACCCTGGCGCGCAAAAAACTTCACTGTGCTTTGATCGAACAGCTCAGGAGACTGCTCAGGCACTCCATGTCAGGACTGATCTTGACATCATTCATGCAGCAGGGTTAAATTGCCAAGGAGAGGAAGAGGAGGTGATGGCCTTAGGCTTTGGAGGGGAGAGCTTCCTGAGCAATTACAGCCAGCTGTTGGGGGGGCTTTGCAGTCTTTCTGAGCTACGTGGAGCATCGCAAGCAGCTCAGGACCTGGCCATTATGCAGGCTGATCATGGATGCTTCCCCTGGTATGCAGGAAGTGTCATATGCTTAATTGTATGAATATTGCAAAAGATTATCGCAGACGCTTCCAAAGTTTGACCAAAAAGGCTATCTGTACGAAGAAGTCCATCAGATTGTGGTCAATTCTAGCAACAAAACCGAAGAGCTCAGAACAGTGCGCAAGCCCGTTGACGGAGTAAACCCCCTCCAGTGGCCTGATTGGATTGTCCCTGGCCCAAACCCTAGCATTCTCCTCTCGAGCAAGAGAGAGGACTGGTGGATTTGAAAGATTAAATTGGCTATCTGGCATCCCCGTCTGTTCTGGTTTAGGTATTTCAAGCGGTTCAATAAGGTCAAATGCCCCGACTGCAGGCAAGACTGCAATGTTATTGGAGACGGGTTTGCCACCAAGCTCAGAGCCGTTTGTTCTCATGATAGAACCATCTACATTCTGGACTACCGCTACAAGTGTGTGGGCTGCCCAAGTAAGTTGCGAACACCTCCGCATAGTCGGTATAGCATAACATATGAAGTGCACTCTGATGTTAGTTTGCTGAGGCAATGGCAAGGTACTTGCATTGTTCCTTCTGTTTTGGCGACGTGCTTGCATTCTTTCTGGTGGTTGAGGCAAGCGTTTGTATGCAAGTCAGGCTCCTCTAGCACTGGTTCGTTTGGTTGCTGTTTGGTTGCTGTGGTTGGTCAGGACCAATTCCATGCGATGTCTGCAAATATTTCTGAAGTTCTGCCCACGGATATAAAGAGTGCCTGCAAACACAGGAGTGCATTCCCCTTTGCAGAAGCCCAAGGGTCCAAGAACCGCTGCTTTTCAAGCGCCCACCCGAAGGTCCTTGCCGATCTACCTCCTTTCATACAGCGCCAGTACGTGGAGCAATTCCTCGTCACGCATAGAGGAGCCTTGGACCGGGTGCTCTACAACCTGGTGCGGGGGCTCACTATTGCTGGGGTTGCTTTTGCTCTATGCGCACGACTCATCAAGGAGTCGCACGCGCTGCAGTTCTACGCTTGCAAGGAGACATATCTTCTTTACCACGAAGCTCTCCAGAAGAGCGAGAGGTCGTCCATTAGGAACTTCTTTAAGCCTTCCAATCCCGCAAGCGTAGGTCCCTCTTCCACTCAAGGGGCTGACCCCTCCCCCCCCCAGCCTGCACAAATAACGCCCATTCCTGACTTCGGCGAGTTTGAGTCCGGCACCGGATACCGCAGCTACGTTCCAAGCACTGGTTACCTGACCAGTGTCTACCTCGCAGAGTTTGAGAGCCGCAAGCAGTGGATTCACCAGCAGCTGGTGCATGTTGACGGGCGATATGTGAAGCTGGACCATACGTTCAAGGTGAGAAACATGGTACAATCTTCCGGGGCGTATACATGATTTGGTCGTGATCGTCATGTTTGTTTCATTTGGCCCACAATTCAGTCTGAGCACTTTTCACGCACCTTCAGAGCTGAGTAATCGATGCTGTCACAACAAGTGGAAGGAGTCAGAGGGTGGCAGTCTTCTGTTGAGAATCATGAGTAAAGTTACTGATCTGGGGAGTAGTATGATCCACATTCCCAAGCATACTGTGCCTGTTCTGTGCATTGTCACTGAGCCTGGTCTTGATTTGGCTACTCCAGGTATGCAAAATGATCAGGACCGCGGATGGGAAGAGGGCCTTTCTTGGGGTGATGACCGTGATGAACGAGTACGGTCAGATTGTGTTCCAAAAGATGACGCAGACGACATCTCTCGACGAGGTTTCCGGCGACTTCCAGAAGATCCGGGCTAGATATGCGGCCCATGGCTTCCAGGTATAGTCACTGCCAATGCATTCATTATTAGGCTAAGATGCCAGACTCGGTAAGTTCTGTTGGAATTGGCTGCTGCCCAATCTGAACAGAGCTAAACAAGACTGGACAACCAGGAAGTCTAGGGACCGCGCTCATATTGTTGTTGGGGTACTGCCCTGGTCTTGCTTCCACCTTTCTCCATTTGCACAGGCCTGTGTTTCACAGACAGCAAATGGGACCAGGAGAGATCAAGTTTCACAGCACTGCTTGTGTCTTTGTGTACAGCCCATGGAGATCGCCTGGGTGGATAATCCCAGGACGACGTCTGCAAAAGTCAAGGCCTCTCTTGGGGTAGACTTGGTGCTGAACGACCCCTTGCACGCCCTGATGCTTGTGTCGCGCACAATTCCAGATGACCATAGTCTGAAAGGTAAGGTGATCTTCACAATCGAATCTACCACAGTCCATTGTCAACGTGCGAGAGTGCCCTCATCTTGCAATACTCATGTCCCAACGCTGACAGGCTTGTTGGTTCCTGGTTCAGGAGGACTCTCTTGGCAAACTTATAAGGTGCAGCTCAAGAAGGGTGCATTTCCAGAGGGGATGCTGCAAGGATGCTGCCTTATGTCCTGAATTCGAGCATGCTAGGGTGTATTCTTTTCAAAAAGTTTGCAAGCTGCATCTATTGGTGGATTTGTCGTGCTTGCAATCTCAATCCGGATCCTGACCTTTGAGTTTCTTCATGCAGGTTTGCTCATGACCCGCATGAGCCAGGCAATGTTCAAGACAGTGGAAGGCGACAAGGCCCTACTGGTGGACTACCTTCGGAGGAGCGGGCTGTCAGAGGGGGATATTGTCAGGAAGCCGGCTGCATATTTCAAGCGGCACTGCCGGCGTGTCATTCCGACCGCCACGGAGTTGGTAACTAGACTGGACCAGGTCTTCCAAGGCCTCCAGTACGCGTACGACACAGCCACGGGCGTCACCCTGTTCAACAAGGCCACCACTCAAGCCTTCATTAACGTCCTCAAACTGGCCGAAGATGGCCTACTGAGCGGTGAGTGGATAATCGGAAGGAAGAGGCTTTATGACGCATGTGGCTCTTTCTCGTTGTGCCGGTATTCTGCATTGGCAAGTATCCTGAATTGTGTTTTGAGGAACGGGTTGTGATGCATGATGTTACAGCTGTCGTTTCGGTTGCCTCAACTCTTTGCAGTCAGACAAGTGGGCGTGGTTCAGTCTTTCAATTTGTGCTAGTGCTCAGGGTTTCGACTTCTTCTGACTTGGGCAACACAGCTGTCACACGTCTGGACAATGCATTCCTTTGAAGTGTAGCAGGCCCCTGTAGATCGGAATTTGAATGCAGTTCTGATTGGCTCTTTCGATGCCTGTCTGTTCAAAATGGCACCAAAATGGCACCAGAGCTTTTTCAAGGGAAACTTTCTAAACACGCTTTGCCTCTTCCTTGCAGATCCTCTTCCTGTACAGGAGATGTTCATCCAAACCGGCACCTGGGGGGGGGGCATTCCTCGCTACACAGCCATCCGGGGCTCCAGCCAGCTCGAAGGCTATCACCGCCACTTGGCACTTGTGCTATCTGGCGCCAACAACTCCCCGCAGCTTGCCCACGCTCAGCTCTCCGACCACAAGGTCGACTGGAACCGAAGAGCGGCAATCGCAAAGCGTGGGCAGCGCGATTATCTCATCTCAGATCTGCGCCGCATCGAGCGTATCAAAGCTGCGAGCGCAAGGCTGAACATGTCGGACCCGTACCCTGAGTACGTGGTGCTCTCCTTCGAGTCAAACGAGCTGTTTGGCTGCGATGGTGTTCTTGCGGGGCTAGATGGTGACGCAGTGAGCAGCTTCGAGGCTTTAAGGGAGGCGGAGCTGCCGGAGGTGGTGGATGATGGGGGTGCATCACTGCTTGAGGTTGACTTTGACGGTAAGCCACTTTCCCAAATCGTTCCCCTTGCCGCACCTTGGAATTTCGCATTTAATTTCTCCAACTGCTTTCGTTGATCCTACTACAAGCCTGCCGTCCTTCCTAATCAATAAAGTTGCATCAAACCGTTGCTTTCATCTTCTTGGTGTTCCATGATTTAGATTCTGATTAGAAAGACTGTCTGCTGAAGTTGTGTTCTTTTGACTCCCTGTGCAGAGACCAAAGAGCCCGTGGTCGCCCGATTCAATCCACATGCGCCCCCGATCGAGGTGCCAGTGGCTACCCCGACCCCGACTCCCAGCGGAGCAACATGGCCAGCAGAGTTGGTCCCCCCCCGCGCTGCTGTCACGCCCTCCGCCGTCCCGAGTGCGCCCCCAGCTGCGGTAGGGGGCGCTGGTCCGGTCCCCCTCGGCGCTGCCTCGACGCCCCGCGCCGTCTCGAGCGCGCGCCCCGCTGTGG